TGTTCTGGTATTTCAACGCGAGACTTCTGTTTGAGGCAATTTGAGCGTTACAAAGTTATAGTGGCGTTTGTGTATATAGATAAGGATAGATCATCAAAAATACAGAAAACAAAAACTATTTTGCAATTGTCATCAAATAAAAAACATAGAATACACATTCGGCGAATTAAGTTTTTAGAGCTACCTGAACTTGAAGGCATAAACTATAGTCTTGTTTGTCAACTGTGTCTCACAATAAAATTTTATAAATTTCACGATCCGAAAAATGAAAGTAGTACTAAATCATATTATACAATTTTTCTAAATCCAAAACTGGCTACTATTTAGTAAGTTTATCTTAAGTTTCTAAAGGAATGGCGATACGATACTAGTATCGTATCGTGAAGCTGTGATACGATTGTATCGATACACCGTCCATTACGATACGATTTACGTACCTTCATGAAATTTGACAGTCTTTCAGTAAACATTATAAGTATTTCGCACAGAAAAAAATCATATTTCTAATAAAGTATTTTTGCTAAAAATTAATGATTCAATAAAGAAATATGAGTATTGATTACTACATGTCTTAATTTATTTTATCAAATACATTTCATGCAAAGTAACGATAACAAAATAGATACAGATATTAACTTTCTTATTTGACTTCCCTTGCCAGCTGCCATTTAGTTGATCAAACCTGGGAATTTCAAAAAGGCACTGTAAAGTGTGAAGTACTTAAATAAGACAATGATACTAATATAGATAATACATTACAGACAATACTGTCAAACGTTGTAATAAACGGTTGATAAAACTTGTGTATCTAGATACGTATCATACCGACTACTATGATGAGATACGCACCCAAGAAGTTTCATACAATTTGATTAAGTATCGCTATTGCGAGAAGAAGGAAAAAGTCAAGGTATATTAGTAATACCTCTTCGGTCTTGAAAGGGGTTAACTAGTTATTATAATCCCTGGACTTTGGTAGCTCCATTAGTATTCTGGGATTGTAACAACTACTTGTGTCAGACAAAAGAGGTAGCTTGTTAGTTACTAATATGGGAAGGAGCCAATTACTGCTACACAATAACTGTTGAAAACTGTTTTTTTCTCGTTGTTGTTGTGGGTTGTGTTTTAATGAAGTTAGAAGATACATTCTGAGTTGCTCCATGATTACATGACAATTTTAAATTCCTGTGTGATGTTAAAACAGTTAACTGTGTATAATACAACGAACTAGTAAAATCGTGTATGGATTTACCTGTAGCACCATCCAGCGCCGATGGTGTTAAGTGGCTAGTAAAATCGTGTATGGATTTACCTGTAGCACCATCCAGCGCCGATGGTGTTAAGTGGCACTAGTAAATCGTGTAATTGGATTTACCTGTACGCACCATCCAGCGCGATAGGTGTTAAGTGGACTGTAAATCGTAGTATTCGGATTTACCGTTAGACCAT